ATTATAATGATCAGCTTGTTACACCAAGATGAACTGAATCAGTATGGTGCTGGGCATGGAAGGCCCACCTGAGGACTGTTGCCAACAACATAAAAAGAAAACTGGAGAGAAGAATGGTGTATTATTGATATCCTGGCGAAGCTTGTCACACTGGTTTTCCTGATATGAACTCAACTGTTCTCATCATCAGAGGAGCTTGGGTCCTCGCTATTGTTGAGGATGGATGTGGTTCTTTTTGATGGCGTCTGGTCCTTGCTTTGAGCATCAGTTCTTGCCTCTAGTGCAGATCCTTGATGCAGAATTGTATGAGACATTATCTGTATTCTAGGCCTCCAGTTAGACTTGTGGAGGACTTTGCTATAGGCTCTAGGTCTTCAGCTGGACTCCTGAAGGACATTGTCATGGCATCTAGGCCCTCCACTGAAATCTTGGGGTCTCTAGTGTGTGAACAGAGCTCCTACACTCTTGTATTTGAATCTTTGGATGGATATTATACAATCTTATAAATTATGCATCCTATATTAAATACATTCCTTTGTAAACCCTGACTGTAAGAACCTTGTTTTATCTTCTTTACTTTCTCATGTATGCATCTGCTTATTTATTTCCTGTCTGTTTCTACCTTTATGTACTTTGTGAATGGGGTGGAGCAGGGACTCTGGATCCAGGGCTTAGAACTCAACTTGGCAAATAGGAGGCTCCTAGAATCCCTTTTCCCTTTTAAGTGAACAGTACTAGTGGTGGAGTTAGTTTGAATTCTGCAGTCCGATGCCTGAGCCTGTGACCTGAGCCATTATGTATGTTGTTTTAATGTATAATGCACTTAATTCTGTTTTGAATAGGTAGTCTTTCTGCCTACTGAATTAGAGTCTAAATCTCTGTAGTCTTGCCTCTGGGCACCTAGCTTTGGCATGAGTCCCAGCATGTGCAGCTGTCTCTGACCAGCAAAAGGCCGAGAGTGTCTGTGGCCATTAGGTGGTGCTACTGGGAAGGGGAAAGTGGTCGCAAGTGACTTCTAAAAGAAGGCAGGCAGTTTGAGGGTGAGACTAGCTGGGGAAAGGGGAAATGGTGGAGATTGAGATAAGAAGGTCTTGCTATACACAAAGTGTGTCTCTTCTTCCAGCTAACTCCAAGCACAAGGCAGGTGACTATGGGATGCAGGCCCAACTTGCTGCCTGTAGGTCCAATGATGGCAGTGGGGATGGAGGCACTGTCTGAGTCAAGACTTGATAGTGTATCTTTATACAGGACTATCCTTGTACCTGCCTGCTGATCTAGTGCCGATCACACACACCCATGTATGCATGCACGCTCGAATACATATGTACTCATACACGCGCACACATTCATACACACAGTTGCCAATGGGGAAATATCAATGGGACAGGCACCAGGTAATAACCTTTCTATATTGTCAGTTTTCCTAGGAGACTTCTTGGGCTGTAAATTCATCTAGAATAGAAAACCTGGTCTGGTTTTCCTCCATGTTTCCACCATATCAGGCACCATGTGTTACACACATAGGTACATAATTATAACAGTCAGGCATCCCAGTTTATCTAGAACTGAGTATGTTTCCAAAAATACGGGACTTCCAGTGTGAAAAATGGAATAGTTCCAGGCAAATCAAAATGAGCTGGTTGATTTAACAGTACAAGAGGCCTCTTTCACTGATCTCTGCGATGCAAATTCTCCTTTTCCCCTGCTGCAAGGACTGTCGTGGTTGGCTGACTGTGACTGTGAGGCTATCCTGGATCTCCATGTGGTCTACTCTGTGAAGTCAGGCAAAGTACTCGGTATGGCCCAGGAACTGCCATCTGGAGCTGTGATGTTGGCAGGAGACAAATCTTCATACACAGGGAACTGTAATAGGACCACATGACTAGTCCGAGTGCATGGAGCCCAAGTGACAGGCTGCAGGGGCCTACCTGTGTACTTAGCACATGCACTTAGCATCATGGAAGGCTTTCTAGAGGTGACTGTTTGAAGGGAGAGAGGGTGGATGGAGAGAGGAAGGTACAGGCATAAAGGAAGCTGCAATGTGTTGTTAGGTAGGAAAACAGGTAGCTCACTTGAGCTACCTCCTTGAGTTAGGCCCTCAACTGGATTCTTGGGGTCTGTAGTATGTGCACAGGTCTCCCACAGGCTCAAAGAGAACCAGGGGACCAAGGAATCATAATAAAGGGGAAAGAGGCAGAGAAAAAACTCAGTGGAGAAGACTGGGTTTGCAAGGCAGTGAGGAATTACTGTAAGGTGCTACTCAGGGCTGGAATATATGTGGCCACTTAAAACATACTAAGAAAATCCTGAATTGGGAGGAGCCATTTTCTATCACTTACCTGTTCTTGTTTTGTTTTGTTTTGTTTTTTTAAACTTCAATCTGTATTTTATAATCTGCTAGTCCCTAGCAATTTGTCTTTTCTAAGAAGTGTTCTAGAGACCAATGGACTTTCTATCTCCTGACCTTGGGGTCAAAACTTTTGAGTCCCCCTTGCCTAGCAGGATCCCTTCCCCTAAATCCCAGTTCTGATCAGGAGTTAGAGTTGTATGAGTCTTAGAGTTAGGGGCTTTGGAAGAACTGTCTATCCCCCTCTCATTTGCATGCCTCCATTTTATGATGCACAGTGTTTAGACAACTCTTGCTACCATCAGACAGATCTCAGAATGTTCTTAAGCTAAGACAAAATTTATAACTTCTGTCCTTAAGTCTTTCTCTGTGCTTTAGTTGTTCACATTTATTCTTCATAAAAGTACATAATATATTTGAGGACTATCTTCCTGCTTTCTAGGGTATTCTCTAGATTAAATATAAGTTTCTGATAAGAAAATTCTTTAGATAATTGCTTTACTGGTGTAACCCTCACCCCTAAACCATCATGAATCTCCAGAGTCTGGCCCACATTTTACACAGAGGTTCTCTAAAGATACATAATCAATGAATCGGAAAATCCATATTACCCTCCTTTGAGCTTCCCTCATAGTATGTGGAGCCTGTAGGCTTACACCTGTCACACACTTTGAGTTAACTGACAAATAAAGTCTATGACATCTGTGATTCTCCTTACACTGCTCCTTCCCCTTTCCAAAAGGCTTCAGTCCAGATGCAAACAGCTGGAGCAATCTGGCTATATGCATGGTTATAGCTGTGGCTTGGTCTCAGGGCTTTGTGGTTGCGACCTGCATTTGTGTCATTAGGGACCAGGCTCCAGAAGCAGCACCTCAGAGGAGATATGCTGGTTCCCATGACAGCTGGGTGAAGGTCTGCTGGCTGCTTGATGTTGCTCACATATCTGAAGTTTGCAGGCTTATCACCTTCGCATATGTTGAGGCCTCCCCAGTAATCACCAGGTTGTTCTCTATTTGATATATTGGACCTTCCCTGCTCATTAGTCCTGAACTGCTTCTTAATGTCTGGATGTCTGATCATGAACTCTTAACTGTGCTTGTCTTAAAGAGCAGAGAACAAAAATGTTCTTGGGTTTGATCCAAGTCAGAAAAGTGTCTGTGTGCTTCCCTCAGCCCTATCAGAAACTTCACATGTAGAGAGACATTCCCTGAAGCCTCTTCAGGATGCAATCCTAGGGAGCAGTTGGAACCATGCTGAGCACCTGGGCCTTGGAGATCAGCTGTCTTATTCCAAAGTTGGGTGTGGATGAGAAAGCCTATTCTAACAAGTGAGAGGCAAGAGAACTAAAAGTCCTGTATCTAGAGATGTTCAGGGGTTTGAGATGTCCAGAATGCTTTTGGAATGACAGATGGCCTGAAGAAAAGATAGCTCCTGGCTCTTCACAGGGACACCAGCCACCTGGTTCACCATCATCTCTCTAGAACCTGTCATGCATGAATCCTGAAATTTGGCAAGTGATCAAGCGGCACTTCGTTAGGTGGAGGAATGAACCAATGAGGAGATGGTTTCTAGTATTTTTTTCTGCATGGCATGTTCATTTCTGTCAGATGAATGGGAGTTCTGTTCAGTTGTTGAAATGACTTGAATTAGAATCCTGAATTCATCATTTATTGGTTTTATATGACCAGACAAGGGCAACTGAACTCTCTGAAGCCGTTGGTAGGATTCCCTTAGAGAATAGCTGTAGAGCTTATGGCCTGGCCCAACACCTGCAGACTCAGTGAATATGTAATAGTTCTATATATGTTGTCTCTTGAAGCCTTACCAAACTTATGCTACAATTCTGTCCTATCCTAGAATATCTCTATGATCTATGTGATTCCAGTGCCTCAAGGCCCTCACTTCAGCCAACAGGTGAGACAGGGACCACATACAACCTTCAAGGAGGGATCTTTTTCTCATATTGACTGAGTAAAGAGGGTGCCGAGAATGGATAAGTTCCTCTTTCCTGTAGGAGGTTGACTTTTGACATAGCTATTTATTTTTTCCTGTTAGTCCTGTGCTTCTGTGACCCTTCCACATAAAAATTTAAGTAAATAGTCTGTATTTCCTTTACAGGTAGAAAAGCACCAGTGTATGGCCAGGCTATCCAGGTTGTCTGGCTTCCTGAAATGGCCAGATAGCAGGGCTGACAAGTTTGATCCTTGTCTGTGTTCATCTCAGAGGCATGTTTAGTAGTTCTCTCCAACATGGATATTATGTTTTTAGGTAAAATGAGTTGATTTAGGACATTTCTAACACAATTTCTCCCTTCCTCATTTCAGTCTTTTTTTCCTGGAAAGCGTGGTTCAAAGAGGAAAGATGCTGTAATGGAAACACCTAGAGCTGTCATTTTGAATGTGAGCAGGTCCTAGCTTTCTGCTGCATGCATGTTCTCATATTTAAAGTGTGTGCTAGGATGAGCCTGGGAGAGCCTGTGAGTGAGGTGGTCCAGGTGACCCAAGGGAGAATTCTTTTGGTATTGATGGCTCAATGTACTTGTGAGATCTGGTTTTTGTTTCCACTTAAGATTTCCTCCCAAAAGGAGAAAATAACCACAAGGACAGAAAATGTTTAGGTGGTGAAGAGGACAGAGAACACACCAAGTCAGATATCAGCCTTAGGAACAGCTTTATTATGTATTTCACCTTCACCAGGGAGAAGAAGGTGAGGAAGCTGGAAAACAGACCAGCTTGTATCACAGAGCCACAAATCATATCTCTGCAGAGTGTACATGATGAAAACAAAGGTCCTCAAGCAGACTAGCTAGGAAGCACAAAGGCAAGATTCCATCTTGCCTTTCCTTATTGGCTGTTTAAACTCAATCGTTTACATAATTTTGTTTCATTTTAAAAAAGCGTAACAAACATGGCAGTGCCCAATCATTGTCTCTGTTAGGGGCAGAGAAAAAAGTACCCAAGTTTTGGTTTTCTCATCATATCCAACCTCTTAACATTCATAGTTGTAGCAGTGATGATAAACACAAAGTCTATCAGTCAGATGGTTGTGAAGTTTGAATAAGATTTTGATATTATAAAAGATGAGCAAAGTCATCCTTCATCATTACATACCAAGGGCTTGATCCAATTTTGCCCCAACAGAGCTGTATTAGGCTTTGGTGGTCTCCTTGATAACCACACCAGTCCTACATTTGAGATCTTCTACCAGGCTGCTGAGAGCAATACTTATTCAGAGAGGTTAATAAAATACAGCAAAAACTGTCTTCAGAGACCAAGTCCTGGAGTACTGAGGAAGCCAAGAGGCAAGAAGTACACTGTATACAAAGGAAAAGGGTTATCAGAGTTGGGGTTGGGATTGGGTTTTCATCCTTTGGTCTTCTTGATCCCACATGGCTTATGAGCAGCTAGTTCACCTTGTCAGTGGGTGAACACTTCTCCTGCACTTTCTGTGGGCTCACCTCCACACATTTTTCCTGGGCTAGCTCCTGGCATGGCTCCATACACTGAGGTTGACACTGGTTTTGGCACAGATCTTGGACTTGCTGTGGGCAGTTTTCTTGGGTTAACTCTGGGCACTGAGAGACACATACTTCTTGATCTTGTCCCAGGTTCTTTTGGCAACAGCCCTGGTCTTGGGGGATGCACACTACTTCAGCCTGTGCCTGACACTGCTGTTGGGTCTTTTGAAGATTTGGTGGGGGTGCACATGGCTGCTTGTACTGCTGATCACTGGACATACTAAGGTGATTCGTAGAACCTGAAACAAACACAAAATTTTAAAAAATCATCTGCATTAAAAATAGTAGACTGGAGGGGCTGGGGATTTAGCTCAGCGGCATAAGCACCTGCCTTGCAAGCAGGCAGTTGTGAGTTCGATCCCCGGTACCGATAAAAACGAAAAAGACAAAAAAAAAAAAAAAAAAATAGTAGACTGGGAAATGGGGAATGAAGGGTTGAGAGAAGGAAAGGGGGTTTTAACCTTAAGAATTCATGTTTTCCTTTACTCTTTATCCATTTCTCTTTCCATCCCTGCTCCATTCCTTTCTGACACTCACCTACAAAGTGAAAGTATTTTCTTAGCTTTTCTCTGGACAGCTATAATCCCAAATCCTAGGTCCACTCTTCTTTTTCTTTTACTAATACTTTTGAAAATCAGAAGCAAGAAACTAGATAGAATACAGAAGGTAGTTTTCAGTGCCCAAGAAATGATAAATCACTTTTAAAAATTGGTAGAAAATACACTCCAAGGAAGAACAGAACTTTGGTCTCACATAGATTAAGCAGCAGGAGAAAGAGGGCACAGATGTCTCCACTTACCTGATGTTCAACAAGATTCAACCAAGAACGTGGATTGTGGAGCATAGCAAGATGAAGGACTTTTATATAGTGCTTGGTGTGTCCTCCCACAGGACCAGTGGGCCACGTGGGGCTGAAATTCTCGTCGTGGCATCACCACAATGTGCTTCCTCTGAAATAACAGATGATTTGAGTCACTGCTTGGGATGCCTGTTAATCAGCCTGAGTTTTGGCCTCTGGCCTTCACCAGACCTCAGCAGGGAGGAGGTCCTGTCAGATCTGTTTCATTAGAGGCAGCAGAAAAAGTATGTTCATAAAATGTTATCTCAGTCTGTTAAACTATGAGTTAAGGCATCTTGTCTGACCAAGCTGGTTCAGAATGGGATGAGAGATAAGATCCATCTTGCTCATCTCATCTTCATGAGTGGGAAAACTTTTTGTCTAAACCTTGGGGTCTGTCTGGGCCAACGGTTCATATAGCAAGATTCTGACATTTCCATTGGATGCTTCTTTGAGGAGCCTGGAAAGTCACTTTTCCAGACCCAAGGAAGACAGCTTGACTTGTGGTTCCAAGCAAATAAAAGGGATATAGCTCTCTGGACAATGATTTTTCCTGCATGTAGGTCCTGAGGGAAATTGGGGTCATTTGTCCTCTTCGTGTTAGAAAGTGGGGTGGAGGGAAAGGACATGCAGTCTTCATCTTCTCAACCACTATTTATGACATCTTCTGAAAATGTAGTCACAGAGTTTTCATGCTGACCAAGAGGACAGGTCACAGCAAGTTTAGCTTGTCTCTTTGCCTTCTAAAAGCCTTTTCTTAGAACTCAGGCCAATAAAAGCCAGAGGATGAGAGGAAAAGTTTCAAAGGGAACACACCCTGTTTCCTTTACACCTCTAAGTCTTGGTTTACACTGTCACCTTTAACCTGAGGTTCTTTGCTGTTGAAATTCTGAGTATTCCTCAAGATCCATTCAAGTGCTACCTTCTAAAAGCCTTTCTGGTTACCATGAACCAGAAAAGAATTCACCTCTTTACAAACTCCTATATTCTCTATTGTTGGTGCTATTTATTTGACATTCATTATTACTATCATGAATGCCAGTTATTTATGTGGAAGATTATATTATTATCTTGGGTTTTGAGCTCAGAAAGGGTAGAGGCTGTACTGTGCCATGCGTACAGTAAGTGGAAGATGATGTGAGATAAATTATTATTGATAGGATAAATGGATTAATGCAAGAATTAAGTGGTGAATATGAGAGATATCTAGGAGTAGAGGAAGATATCCTTTGCCAGTAGGAATGGATTAGTTATGAAAGAATCCTCTAGTTCATAAAGTGATTCTAATGTTGATCAATTCCCAGATGCTTTTAAGATGATGATGTGCTTTCTGTCCTGAACTTGAAGTTAATTTAAACCCTTAACTTGAAGAGATAGGCTTAGGTCATTTCTTAAGAGAAGTATTGGTTAAAATAAGGGATGCCTTTGAATGTTTCTATAGGTTTTAGACACTGGATAGCTGGAAAGTTTTTAAAAGGTAAGCTGGGCTGGGAGCAGGTAGTTACTTTGATTTTTAATATGGGTGCAAATAGGACTTGTATGACTCCAGCATCGGCCCTAGGTTTCCTAATAGGAAGATGCTGAGGTGGGAGGGACTTGGAAGATGTATCTGAATAGTTAAGGTCATTGGGGGAATCTTGGAACTGAGTAATTATGATTGGTAGACCCCTATCTTCTTTTTCCTTCTCTTTCTTTTCTTGTGTATCTCCTCTTCTATTTCTTCTCTCCCCTTTGTAACTTTTGTCTTTTCTGTAAAATTATGTTTAAGACACACGCTCTCCTGTGTCCTCAGAGGCAAGAAATTACCAGTGAATTTCTGAATTTATTCCTTTAGTCATTTTAAGCCTATCTTATAAAGGACTGATAGCTTATAGAGAAGATAGGCAGAAGTCAGATCTCAAACATACTCCAGAAAAAAACTCCTCTTATTGATCTTGGGAAGAAGATCGTAGAAAGCTGCTGGGAAGAAGATGTGTGTTATGCCTTGCCTGATGATAAGAATTGCTTCAGCAATGAGAGTGGAAAATGGCTTTTCAGACATCCTTGAAAAATGAATCCTTGTTAAGCAGGTAAAATGAAAAGAAAATACGAAGCCAATTTAGAAAAGGAATGAATGAGTAATTAGGGAGAACAGCTTGACTGAGATTTCCAAAAGTTTCTTTGAAACAGGGTGCATGAAGTGACTCTACTCTCACATACCTTTCTGTGGTTTTGGTTGAGCCCAAGGGTAGAGTGACTAAATGGCAATGCTCAGAACAATAGAGGTTTTCTTCTCATGGTAGGTATCGAATGCACGAACACCACAAGGTGTTCTTTAAAAAACCTCCTTATCTGTCATTGAATTGATTCATGACAGTGAAATATTCTTGAAACTGACACAAAAATTCTTTTGTGCAAGACAGTATAATGACCTCCCAAAGATATCCATAGTTTAATCTCTAGAATTGTTAAAAGTGTTTGGTTACTTGGCAAATGAGAATTAAGGTAGCATGAAAGGTAGTTTATGGATCTAAATTGCTAATCAGATGACTTTCAAATAGAGAGATTATACTGGATTATCCAGTTGGTGCCCATACAACCACAAGGATCTTTAAAAGTGGAAAAAAAGGCAGAAGAATTTTTGTCTTGAATGGAAGACTTGACTGCCTGTTTGTGGCTTTAGAGACAGAAGGATCCCAGGAGCCCAAACTGAGGGTGGTCTAGTAGCTGGGAAAAGTAAGGAGACGGTCTTATGGAGCATCCAGAAAGACGGTCTTATGCAGCCTTATTGGCACTGTGACTTTAGTCCTGTAAGACTTGTCGTAGACTTCTGGCCTCGAGAACTATAACACACTTTTTTGTTACTTTAAGCCACAAAATTTGTGGTTACAATAGCAGTAAGCTGATACACCTCCACAGTATCTGGGACTCTTGGGAAATCTGGAGGAGGGAAATCTCAAATGAAGCAGTAAACTCTCCTCTTAGGGTTCCTGCATTTAAGTAGATTCCTACTTGTCCATGTCAGGACCCTTAAACACTGAGTAAAGGAGACACAGCGATGCGTGGAAAAAGAACTGAATTCAGGCTTCAGCACTGAGTCTATTATGTGGACCATGTGCAATATTAGATAAGTGGCAGCCTCTCACAATCTCGGTTTTTTTCTTTTTTGAGAAAGTTGAATACAGTTTCAAAAATTTATGAGGATTAATTAATGTAGGGAATCTAAACACTAACACTTAGGGCAACTGAGCTACTTACAGAAGTTTGGTGCAATCTGAATCAGTTTGGGACTCATTTCATCACAAAGCTTTCTGTGATTTTTTTTCTCCCTATGGCAGAGTCCTCTACTGTACCATTTGTTTTTTGACTTTATTTTTCTGTTCACTGTGATCAATAGACAATGTACTCCTCAGAGGCCAGGGTACGTGGCTCAGGCCCTAACAAAGTGTATGACTTCATACTATTCCCAGATCTTCTCTAGCCACATTTTCATCATCATTAAAACAGGAGAATTAGGCCTTCAGTAGGGTCTGTTGGGCTCTCAAATCCTGTTGCATTATAAATGCGATCATAAGTATGATTTCCCTAGGTATCTATGCAACCTTGTAAGTGTGGCTATCTGTGTGTGGAGGTGCTGCCTCTTTGATTAGTTTGTAATAGGCCCATAGAAAGACCCAATCTCCTGTCCTCCTCAATTGGCATTGACCCATTTGGGCAGCTGAGTGAATTTAGGTCTTTACTTACATGTACAGGGTGAGAGTATTTGGGGTTTGAGCTCCTCATGAATCATCTTCATTGGACTAGTCACTGGGACTTATAGTTGCATAGTTTTAGGGAGATAGTGCTACTCCACATTGAGACTACAGATGACAAGATTAATAGGTTTGGTAACTGTCACCAACCCTCCAGCAAGATTGGGGCTAATCTGATTCCATGTCATCTGACATTTCAGATTTTGAACTACTGAAGCTATTATTATTGAGAACCAGAGCATAATGAGGGTCAGCAGAAGAGACAGAGGTGTGTGCTGGACATTCCAGTTGCCCTCATTCCCATCAAATAACTATCTCCTGCGTTCAGATAATAATATTTTTCAGAGTCCTCTGATTCATTCATCTGCATATTACAGGGCAGTGGATCCCGATAAAGCTGAAAAGTACAGCTTGTGGCTCATCCCTTTTCCTGTGGAGTACCTGTCTCTGGAGTTTATTAAGCTTGTAAATTCCTGAGGGAGAGTCCATCATTCCTTTCCCTTCCTTTCTCAGTGACAAAGGAGTCTGAATCAAAGACTTGGGAATGGCCCTTGGGGTACAAGGGACATGAGAGGACACCTAATTCCACTTCCTCCCTTTAGCCCCAGCGATATGTTTTAAACAGGAGGCACACAAGTACTTATTGACTACATTTTTGGAACAAAGAAAGGAGAGACAAGTGTTAGGTCATTGTTCAAGGTCAGCTTATACAAGTGAGCTTGTGTCTATATGAGCTATAAAACATTTAAAGAAACATTTAGAAAGCTACTATATTAGAGATTCTTTATAAGTTTCAGGAAGATAGGATACCAGGCCAGTCGGTGGTTCTAAACAGTTTTGGAGACGTGAGAATATTTACATATACATACGCCTTCATGTTCAGGGGTTGGGGAACCCATGTTATAGACCACATACACAGACAGGAAAAAAGCTGTTCCTGAATTGTTGAAGTTTGCTGGTGGTTTTCCAACTACCCTCTTTTGAATGTGGAGTCTTGCTCTTCCTGGCCTAAACTGGGGTTGGAAAGCCTCGAATCTTCTCATAAGCAACTCACGGTGACTTTGGTTGTTTCCCTTTTTGGGAGAAACAATTCAATTACTTATTAAACATCTCGAGGGCTGGGGCTGGGGATTTAGCTCAGCGGCATAAGCGCCTGCCCTGCAACCAGGTAGTCATGAGTTCGATCCCTGGTACTAATGAAAAAGACAAAAAAAAAAAAAAAAAAAACAAAAAACATCGAGGGCCCTGAGTGCACATCCAGTGATGTTCAGTGATGCAGAAGTCTCCCAGCCCATCCTGCAGATCTCTTGGGAGTGGATAGAAGGGGAGCTCCCTTCGAACTCATTCTGTTTAAGAACTTGCCGTCTCTCCTCTCCTCTCCCCTCCCTCTCTCTCTGTTTCTTTTGGTACCAGATTGAACTCAGGACCTTGCACTTGACAAGCATGTGCTTGTGCTGCCTGTTTCTTTTTTTAACCCCCTGCTGCACACAGCAGATGATAAGAAGTATCTTCTGCATTGGATGGCAGCACAGGATTCCAAGTGCTCATCTAGGTATCAAGCATTACTGGTATCCTGGATTACTAAGTTTGGTTTTTCATGCCAGGGGTTTGGCATCAGTTGACTCACATCATCACTCCACTCTTCGCTCTTCGTGAAATTTTCTCACTCTTTAACAAACACACTGAAACCCCATCTTGCCCTGAAGCAAAAATTTGTTTGTACTTCTCAGCTGGATGGTATAGAACTAGTTTAGAATCCACATCTGTATAATGTCAAACCACCACTCCCAAGTCTCCCAAGAAGAGAGACTGCATGAGTGCTGCCTGGACAAAGCTGGAAGGATCAGCATTTTATGTCCCCAAATAAGTGACTAAGGCCAAGACTGTGACCAAGGCCAGGGCTGCCTCTCTCAATCCCAGGCCCCTCATGTTCAGTGCCTTCTCCCCTTTTCCCACTGCTGCATTTCTTTCTCTGCAGTGGTGTTAAGAAACACAATGGATTAGTGTCAGTCCAAAGCAAATTTTCATCTTTGGAAATGTGCCCCTAACTCCCCTAGCACCCACTAACTTATTATTGAATGCTTGTGATATATATCTTCTCTGTATGCTTACAGTCTAGTGACAAGTTATAATTGACCAAAATGTGTAGTGGATGACCAGAAGATGGGGAACTAAGAAACTTCTTAGAAGAGGTGACCCCTGAGTTGGGTTAAAAGATGAAGATTTGTGCAGGTGATCATTTAGAGGTAACTCAGTGGAAGAAGAACATAGAAGAAAAGCAAGTGTTAAGTTTCAAAGCCAAAACACTGTTCTGTGACAGGAAATGCAACTATTGTCTGCTAAGAAGTTTTTGAGATGGTAAAGTGGCTATATAATTAGGCAAGTGGTAGATCTTGAAAATTTTTGCACTACAGATTAAGTCATTTAAGCTGGGTCGAGGCAAAGGGAAGCCTCAAGTGATTAAGAAAGAGAGATACATTTGAGTTTTATCAATAACCCTTTGACAACCAGTTAAGAATTTTGAGTGGTATGAGAGATGAGGGGATTTTTGGTGGAAAAAAGACATGAATCCTCAGTCTTAGGAGGATTTCCTTTCATAGACAAAGCAGTGGAGCAGGGACAGCTCCAAAGTGAGTGAAACTTTTTTTTTTTTATGTTCCTGGGAGAAAAGTGCAGCTGAAAATACCCAAGTATGTATTTTATCTTAAGTTGGTGTCTTAGAATCTTTATTTTGCAAATGACTTACTGAATTATCTGCGTATTTGCGGAGCATGTGTGGCATGGTAGCAGTTAGGACTTGGCATCAATAAAGTCCTCTAGAATGTGCCTCTGTTCATTTCCATGGGCTAGAATCTTTGGGCATGTGGAAGCAGGATAGGAAAAACAGGCCTGTTCTAGTAACCAGTTAGACCTTGCTGCTTCCCTGGTTGCCAATCCTATGTGGAAGTGGCAGACACCTCTAAGATCCCATCCAGAATTAAATTAAGACTTTCTGTGCTCAGTCCACTCAGAGCACTGAGTGTGCTCACAGCCAACTGACTCCAATCTCCTAGGTTTTGGGGGTGACATAGAGACTTCTCAAGTCTAACTATAGTCTACCAGGTTTTTGTTTATTTATTTAGGTACTGGGAATTGAACATAGGACCTTGCACTTGCCAGGCAGGCGCTTATGCCTGCTGTATCCTTGGCCGCTGCTAAATTTTTGAGAAAGGACATTACAAGGGAATCGGTGGTGAGGGTCTCCCTTTGTGACTCTGTTAGTGGACCCCCAAAACTGTTTAGCCTTGAAATAAGAGGGATTGTCTTCCTCTTCTCCTTAATCTGTGAATCATCAGGTCTGTGCTGTACAGTCTAGTGATGTCACACTTTGAATGTTCCTTATTTATTCATCCTCGACCCTTTGGGGCCCAGCTCTGGTGACTACCCTGGGACTGGAAGTAATTATAGCCTTCTGTGGAGAGAGTCACTCTCATCACATTCTAGCTATCTTCCCCAGAACTCCCTTTGATCAAGCTCTTTGCTGGAAAAGCAGCTATTAAGCGATGTCTATCTTTGGTTTCATCTAATCAGAGAAATGATAACTAAATTGGTAGTGGATGCGTTCATGTTCTCAGAGTGGCCTCCTCCTAATCTGTGGTGAGTTCTCAGGGACACAGTCCCAGTCCCAGCTGTCACAGAGCTACCTGGGGACCTTAGTCTTTGGTCCTACATGAGGATGCTCCCAGGTGGAGTGCCTTTTACATGAGTCATATCCCCTGAGATGTTCTTCCAGAGTCTCCCAGAAACTTTGGTGAGGTCCAAGAAGTGTTCATAATTATTTCACATTATTTATTTTTCTGTTACAAAATGAATAAAAGCATATTAATGAAACCAGTGGAAAAAATACTAGTTATCAATCATCCCATTATGGTAAAATAGAATATCCACAAATTTCTATTAGCTATTCATTGAAGCTTTTGGTTACAGATAATTGTTTTGTGCCACACACTCAAATGAGCCCTTACACATTTTTCTTTGCTGGAGATTGAACCCAGAATCTGCTGCATACAGGGCAAGTACTCCATCACTGAGCCACATCCTTACCCCCTCTTTAGTACATTTTATATGAGTTGTGTAATGTTGCATGGACTAATAGGCCTATGTTCATTTAATCAAGCATTGTTAGATATTTGAATTTTTAAAGTTATACTATGATCACATTTATTTATATAGCATTTCCTACCATTTTGTAATTATTTTTCTTCTCAGTTTGCAATTATTTTTCTTTGCTTAAATTCTATAAAGTAAATCCATTGAGTCAAAATATTGAATCATTATGCCTTTGATATACATTCTTATGTTGGCCAAATTATTTCCTAAAAAGCTATGTAGGAAGATATTTAGTCCACTTAACAGTGCCATAATTTTTTACCCTGGAGTTCTGGGACTTATTATTTGAAAGTGGTAATTTAACAGAGCAATAGGGATGTCACATTATTTTCTACCCCTTCCTTTCTTTCCCTCCTTTATTTATTTTATTTTTTTATTCCCTGTGCTGGGTCTAACCCAAGGGTTTGTGCATGTCAAGCATCTGCTCTATGATAACCTACACCTTCAGCATTTTTCTTCTTTCTGATCCTCTGTGAGGTAGGAAGGTTTTCTTCTTGTCATCTGCAGTCCACCACAGCTCTAACATGAGATTCTAGTGGTTCTTGGCCTCTGGCAGGCAATTCAGTCTCTCATTCTTGCCTGGAGACCCTGAGATTTCAAGACATCTTCATATAAGAGACGTAACCACTAATTTTCACATTTGAAAAATGAGGTGGAATGCTAAAGTCATTGTGTTGCTCTGTGTTCTAAAGATCTACATCTGTAACTAGCTGATAACATGGTCTGGGTCAGAAAGGAGTCCCTGGAATCTTTTATTTGGCATAGTTTGGACTCTGCTTGCCACAGGGTTTCCTGCTTAAACCATTCTCTAGACTCGGGAAGATGATGTACCATGATTTGGAGAACTATCCCAGATTGACCTTTTTTACAACCTCTTATTCTGACTGTAGAGAATGCTAAACCTATTTTCATTTAAATCCTGCGGACTGTAATAGTCCATTGCTCATTTGTGCTCATCTGTTTGCCCAAAGGGGTGGACACATGACCTTCCAGGCCACCACTGTCCTTTTCTGGAAACAACCCGAGTACCTTCATACCCAGTTTGTGCATAGTAGGGACGTTAGGAGAGGATGGGATATATGTGAGACGGCCGAGTGAGACTAACATGTTGAGCGCCTGTCTGTGCCCTCAGCCTCTGAAGTGCTTCATTGCTGCTGCAGTTTTCTCTTCTGTGTTTCACTTTCATACCCTCAGCAACATAAGCCACTAAATTCCCTTTTGTGAATTAAGCCAGTCAGACATGGACTGCAGCTCTTTGCAAATGACCTCTACTAACATGTCAGCTGGGAATGTCTTCTCTGTTTATTCCTAATTGGGATGCTCCTATATGCAGATCTGGTTTCTTATATCTAAGGTTTTTTTTTTTTTTTTTGAAACAATATCAAAACCAAGGGACTGACCCAATTTTTTCTATTTTCTTTTCTTTTTTAAGAATGTGTAGCTGAGTCTAGTGGGATTTGTTACAGCCTGTCCAGCCTGCTCAGCAGGAGAAGTGCAGAGCAATTAAGTTCAGATGTGTGCGTGTTAGACAATGGCAAGTGTAGGATTACTCCCTTCACCCAACACCCACTATTTTCTAGTACCTTGGACCCTAGGCATTTACTGATTTCTGAGTCTCAGAATAGTGCTGTAACTTTGGCAGAAAGAAGGAAACTAAGGCACAGAAAAGTTAAGCAACTTGCATAAATAAGGTCACAAAGTTGCTAGGGAACAAAGCTAGGGATTAAACTCACCTGGTAGATACTTAGAGGCCTCTGAGGCATTATGAAATAGGGCTAACAGCAAAGTGGGTAGATCTTCTTTGCTTGAGCCTTCCTGGGCCTTTTGCCAATGTCCCACTCTTTTTCCCTCAGGCTGTCTACATCTCACTTCCTGGGGTTCCTGCATTTCACCAGCTGCTTTATCGATCTCTGCTCTACCAGGGGCCTGGGTTCATGCAGTATATCCTTTAGGAGAGGCAGGTCCCTCTTAAGTTGTAGACAAGGACAGAGGGTAGCCAGGACTTGAAGGTCTTTGATAGTGGAGGTCTGCAGCTCTGACCTCACTCCTTATGACTTGGTTCTTGATGCTTTCATGCTGTAAAATAACAACAAAAGAAAGCAAAACCACCAAGACAGAAGGAAGTAATGCACAGCAGGATATCACCTTTACTTGTCAGGTCATGGCTTTAGTTCCAACCCAGGTGTTGTACATGGTGGTGGTAGTTGGGTTGTGGCAGCCATGGTGCCTCACTCTGGAGGTAGGCAGGCAGGGGTACACTTAGGTGGACAGGGCTTGGAGCAAGGCCTGTGAGGGCACTGATGGATGCATGGTGGGGGACATGGTGGACATGGTGGGGGGCATGGTGGACATGGTGGGGGACATGGCGAGGGGCACGGCGGGGGACATGGTGGGCACTTTGGTGGTGGAGGACACTTCTGCTTTGGGCACTTTTCTGAGCAGCGTTGCAGTAGCTTCTTTAAACAGCTGGGCTGGCATTTGGACTCACACTTTTGTTCACACCTGGGGTCACAGTACTTGGGCTCATTCTTGGGGTCTGTAGGCTTACTCTTATCATCAGTTGACATCGTTTCTGGATTACGCAGGCCTTGCAAAGAAATACAAGACAGATGGTAAGCAGAAAAGAATTCCTTTGGCTTTCTCAATCATCCTCCCTATTCTTCTTGAGAAGTGACCCCATGTGTTCAGGCTCTGGAATTCATTTTATTTTTTTTTATGTTAGGTACCAGGGATTGAACTCACAACCTTCTGCTTATCAGACAAGTGCTTGAGCCACTGAACTCAATCCCTGGCCAGGCTGTAGACCTTCTTATTGAAGAGCTGTCCTCATTCTTGTTGTGTATTTGTGGCAGCATGTCTTGATCTCTCTGCCCTTTTTCTGGTTGCTTGTCTCTTTCTTGTTTTCATTCTTTGGGTTCTAGTGACAGTTCTTAACCTAGGGCCCTGGGATATTCCTCCCCTCCATCAATTGTAAGAACCATTTTAATATAGTTGAGAACATGTGGACTGAATAGATGTCTATAGAGTATTCCTCCCCTCTACAACAGAGTATACTTTTTCCAAAATGAATCATATACCAGTCCACAAAACCTATTTAAGTAAGTATAAAAGAATTGAAATTACCTCATGCATATTATCAGAATACTAATCAATGAAAATAGAAATCAATGACAGAAGTAATTGCAGAAAATGTAGAAGCTCCTGGAAAATTAAGAACACTCTCCTAAGTATCCAGTGGGTGACAAGAAATCAAAGATGAAATTTAAAAATTTCTGAAAGTTATTGACAATGACTGCACATACAACTCACTGAAATCTCTAGGTGCTATCAAAGCAGTTCTAAGAGGAAAATTCATCACTGTTAACCTTCATATTAGGAAAGCAAGTGAGTTTAAGTAAATAATCTTTTGAGGAATTTCAAGATACTTGAGAAACAACAACAATCCAGAACCAAATCAAAATTAAAGAGGGATATTATAAAGATAAAAGCAGAAATATGAAATAGAGATAAAAATGTACAAAAAAATCAAGTCAAAAAAATCAAATCAAGTGCTGGTTCTTTGAAAGAAAAAATAAAATAGATAAGCACTTAGCCAAACTTACCAAGAGAAAGAGAAAAAACACACATCAATGCAATTAGAAATGAAAAAGGTAAAAATCACTCCAGACACACAGATAATACATGTACAACAGCCTGATAACCTCATTGTATTTAAAGATTATATGCCATGAACATGAGGAAAGAGGAGTTACAGAAGGAAGGGGAAAGGGAAAAGAAAAGGGAAAGAGATTTAAAAAGAAACAAACTGTTACATACATGTACCTACTCCCCAAGATGATTGTCAAATGCATGTACTGTAAACATGTAGTAATAAAAAATTGGGAAAATATAGCTGATATTTCCTATGTATTTTGTGTAATTAATTAAAACCATTACTTCAAGGATGAAGTAATGCTAGGATGAAGGATGCTAAAGGCATCCAAAGTACAGTTAAAAAAAGTTTTAATTTCTATAAGGCTACTTATATTTCTAGATAAATGGATGGTGCATGAGTGGACTTTAGAGCCCTAGACACTTTGTACCCTGTGGCTTTCAAAAACCTTAAAAGTCTCTTTCTTTTGTTAAGGATGGAGGCTAAAATAGTAACTAATCCCTGCTATCCATGGATCATTCTAAACTTTCCCTTCCATTGCCTCCAGATTCTGCCAAGCAATTAGAGTTAAGAAAAAATAAGGAATATTTTCACAAACTGTGAAATTCTAACTTATCAAAAATATGCATGTTAGAACCGTAGAATATGATTTTCAGAAGGAATTCTTTTTCTTTGAGTTTTGCTTTGGGCTAGGTTTTCCTTTCTGATCAGTTTAACTTCGGAATATGGAAAGAACTTTTCAGTCTGACATTACTAGTGGATCTAACTGGCATACTTCTGATTTCTCTTCACAATATAAAAATAAAATTTTTACCTAATTTAATTTTAAAATCAGCATAGTTCTCTAGGAATGCAGATTATTAAATCTAACTCTAAAATTGCTGTGTCTATTTGATAGAGTGAGATGCACACAAATTCTTGCTCACTAAAAAAGACAGGAAACTTTGACCAAATACAATCTTCTCATCCCTGCTTAGTGCTTGAGATGCTGTATGTCACTCCCAGGGCAGGAAAAGTAAAAGAGCAGCATTTCTAGTTGTCCAGATGCAACTCACCCCTTTGTGCTGGTAGTTAACCTGACAAGTAATAGAGTGGGATCGATAGTACAGCTGTGCTGGGGAAGGTGGATTTTCCCTCTAGTTCCTCAATCCAGTTCTGAGGACACCAAGAGTGGAGCAGGGACATGCCCATCTGTGACATCATCATGGCATCACCAGCAGTGATTGTTAGGTGACTCCAAGGCTCCCAGCTCAACTCAGCTCCTTGAATATAAGAATAGAGACATAATAAATCAGTCCTTTGTTTTCTCAGCCCTTTCAGAGTCTCTCAGAATCAACGCTGGCAAGATCAGGCCATAGTGAGGATACCTTGTGCCCCAGACACTTTTTATCCTACCCTAGGATAAAGCCACAGAATAAAAAATGTCTGAGGTTCACTGTTGCTCAGAGAGCAGAAGCTGGCTTGTTCCTTACCAGTGGTTTGTGTCCACAGACTCACAGTTTTAACTCCTGTGAAATTGCACCTTCACCCTTCTGGAGAGCTCCTCTGGATCATAGCCAGTCAGACTCTCCCTTTCTTCCTATTTTTGTAGCAAAACCTTCCTTTTACCATACCATACTCCTTGGCCCAAATCCAAGGATTATTTAAGCACCTTTTCTCAGTGTCCTTGAAAAAATTCAGATTTTTGGGGGGGGGAGTAGGGTGTAGGATATAGCATTTCTTTTTTTTAAATTAGGCCATGGCCACTCCTTAATATTCAAGGTAAATGTTCTGTATTATAAAGAAAGTCTTACACTCCTCATCATTCTTGACCAATGAGTTAACTCAAGATCCTACCTTAGAAATGTTTAGGGGCTGGGGATTTAGCTCAGCGGCCTAAGCACCTGCCTTGCAAGCAGGCGGTCATGAGTTCAATCCCTGGTACCGATAAAAATGAAAAAAAAAAGAGGAATGTTCTCCTCCCAGAGTTCCTTTTTCTCCTTTCCAAGAGCCAGGCCAGTGGGTTTTGTGGTTAGAATAGAGATGCGTATTGGTAGTAGTGGGAGGGTGGTGAGGGGAAGATAAACAGGGCTTAGGCATAGAGCCTAAACATGAGCCTGGGCTTTGGATTTACCTTAACATTCATTCAATAATCAGTTATACAAGTGACACTGGATTAAAATTTTACTATGACCATGTCCAACATGTTAAAATTCTGACAGCAAAGTGTGGGATGGATTGGGTGATCAGGTGGTGGAGTGAGAATAGAATCAATCTATTTTAAAGAAATTACCAATATCTTCATGTTTGAAGGAAGGCAGTACTTACAGAAGAACTATTCCCAGTGAGAGACATCATCAGAGAGGTAGATTTATAAGGCTTGGTTACTGACTTCGTAAGCAATGAAGAAAAATTAAAGATGGTCCAGATTTAAAGATGGCAGCATTATAGTTAATGAGAGCTGAAAGCAGTAGGGATTTGAGTGTGAGAAAACTAAGCATGAATACCGGGGCAAACCTTGGGTGGTTATTTGTCCTTGCTTCATGGGGAAGCCCTGATACCAGGAGTTTGTTTCATTCCAACAGAGTTTACTAAGTGGATGAATATGAGCTGGTCCAGAGCAAGTTTGGGGAACAAGAAAGAGAGTAGGGAAGATAAAGAATCTTAATACAGGGTTTACTTGGTATTTACAACAGATAATGCCAGACACAGGTAAAGTAAGCCTCAATGAAACTGCGGAGTGAGCCAGAATTTAACTTCCTGGGATAAATGGTATAAATGTCACAGTCTTAGTGTAGACTGCGCCCTTACTGCATTTGTCTACAGTTTTGTTCATGAGACCTGTCTTCCCAAAGTTATTAAAGAAGTTGTTCTGCGTCCATCACAGGAGACCTATCTCCATCTGTTGTGATCCTCTGGACAAAGCAACCAGTCTGCATATGGAGAAGGCATCATTTGCCACAGCAGTATCAAATGTATGATGATTTCTCCTCACTGTTGTCACCTTCCTCTCTCCTTTCTCCCCTTTCCTAAGTCTTGCTCAGAAAGCTCCTACTGAATGACAGTATATCATTTACTGAACTTTCAACAGAATGTAATTTGTTCATCTTTTTCCCAGTTGTTAAATTCCTCCTTTTTAAAGCTCCATAATGCCAGTTTTGTCACATTTATTTTTATGACATGAGAGGCTTCACTAGAGGCTGGGTCTCAGAAGAGAGGCTGGAAAAGGAGCTAAGTGTCAAAGCCTGGCTTAGATTAAGGGTTGATACTTTGGACTATAGTGTCTATAGTTTCTGGATTCAAATCCTGCATCTTTTAACTAATGACTTCCTAGTCATCTACTTAACCATTCTAAAAGTCTCAGTTCTCCCAGCTATATAATGATAGTCTTAACATTTGTTTTAGGATAATATCTAACTTGTATTGAGTACATATAACATGCTAGATACATTTCCAAGTACAGAATCTGTGCTGTTCTGCACTGCTTCATAGTATTTAAGGTTATCTGAAAGAATAGAGATTTTATGTATGAAGAACCTCTAAGAAATGTTTGCAGTATATATTAGTTAACCATTTTGTTAGTGTTGGCTTGAATTCTTTATCCCTTGTCTTGCTGGTACGCTCTCTCTGTCTTTCTTATTTCATTGATCTTGGTCCTAAAATCCCTCTTCTATAATATTTTCCTTGGAATCTTCTCCATATTCGTTTTTCTTCTGTTTTCCAGTGAAAATTCTTGATGGTTTTCATGATAAGATTATACACTTCAATATTAACTATTAATGATTTCAGTTTTGAAACAGAGTTGATGTAAATGTTACTGATAAAAGATAGCAGTATGAGCATTAATACCAAAAAGAGTCATGAGACCATTCAGGCATTCTCTGCATACCTGTACACCCTGCATGTCCGTAATATTTTACAAGCCCTACAAGATTCTGAGTATCAGAAATTTTGGCTTTATTGTGTTTTCTGTTTACCAGTGTACATGTGTCAGGTCTGGGAAACCCAGAAGGAGACACTACTGGATGTTGTGAACTAGGAATCACATATCACTTTGGATATTTCTAGCATACAGCCCTCATCTGGCTCAGGATTTGAAGCAGAAATGGACTTGGGTATTAGTCATTTTACCTGAATCTCAATCTCCTCTTCCTTACAGTTGTGCCTCAATTTCCCTGTATCTCTAATTCATCCCCGAACACTCATGAAAATTTTCTGCCTGATGAATCCTTCTTCCAGAGCAAGTATACAGAAATTGAGATTGTGAATGTGAAAGAGAAGCGTCTTGCCCAGGCGACTATGAGGCATTTTGTGGGCAGAATGGAGTCTTCTCTTCAGTGAATTTGTTTTCACTACCCCATGGTATGTCAATAACCCATATTCTACTTTAGGACATTTCCTAAGGTTTCCCCCCAACGCTTTGCTTCCTTTATTTTCGCCGGGTCTCTCACTTTCTCAGCCCTACTACATGAGTTAAATTGGATTCTCACTGAGGTTGATGGTTTAAGGAAGAGAATACCAATGAGGAGAAAAATCAGCAGGTTAGGAGTTCTTTCCACATCATCAGATCATGGAGGGAGAAATCTGTGCATGCAAAGAAAATGGAAAAACATGAACAAAATTTCTTCATACAATGTGAGATTCTAAAGTCAGAAAACTTCCTTAGGATTTTTACCATAACAAGGAGTAATGATTTAAGGTAGTTCTTGTCAAGTTCCTAAACAGTTTTATAAGAAATATGAAGTCTTCCTAATTTTTAATAATGTGAGAGGAAGCAGAGCTCTGTTTTCATAATATTCTTTGGTCACCAAGAGCTGCTAGAAGAACCAGCACTGATCTAAGCAGCTAACATGTGGAAGCAACCTAAAAGCTCATGGTCAGATGAATGGATAAGGAAAATGTGGTGTTTACATGCAATGGATTGCTACTTAGCTTTTAGAAAAATGGAAATTCTACCATATCCAACAATGTGTAAGGTCCTTGAAGTTATACAAAGTGAAAAAAATCAAGATGCCAGAAACATATATTGCATGTTTTCATTTTTATGAGGTACCTAAAATAGTTAATTTCGTAAAACCACAAAGTCAATACTGAAATGATAATGACTAATAGATATAGGGAGGGGGAAATGAGTTATTAATCAACAGGTAAAATATTTCCTTTAAGATGAGTAAATTCTGGAGATCTGCTATACAGCATTGTACCTGGAGTAAACAGTACTGCATTATGCACTTAAAATTTAAGAGGCTAGATCTCACTTTAAATGCTTCTACCACAGAAGAAAAAAAGAAGGTATAAAGGGGGATGCGTGGTATATTTGGCCCCAAGGAGATACTGAGGGCACTTTTGTCTAATCCCTGCTGTTTTCTGGGACGGATCTAGGAAGAATCATTTGCCACTTGAGGAAAACAGTGGTGTAGAAAGTTTCATCCTTGGAGCATGGGAGAGTTGAAGTCTTGAAGGAGTACACTGCTTTGAGGTGGGAGTATGAGGGAAGGAGATATGTGCAGTAAGCATGACAGATTCCTTGTGCCACAAGCCTGGATTTAGGTGGCAGCTTTGATACCACATTGAATTTAGCATGTATGATTCAGGCTCTGTGTACAACAAGCAACAGTGACACCTGGTGGTAAGTCAAAAGCAGCTACATTTATTGACGATCACAGGATATTGTGTTGTGTTGCAAGGGCGAGTTTGTACTGCCGAAAGATACTGCATGAACGAAAAAGGGCTGGGGTAATAGGAAACAAAAGCACTGCATCCAGAACTCAGGCTTTCAGAATTTGAAGGATATGCATCTCAGTCCAGTACCAGATCCCCCAACCCACAAATCTCTAGATGTGATTGAAGCGAATGATTGATAGAATGCTGTGTCATTTCAGGGGCTCTTAACGTGCACACCTGTCCCAGAATTCACTCTAATGCATGACCTGTAGTACATATTCATGAACTCTTAATACGATTGGATAAGATAAAGGTGACTGGAGGTCAGGTTAGGAGATCCAACATGTATAGATGGACATAGGCAATTTCAAGTTGTCAGTGGTTTTTCAACTGGTTTGTAGGACTTCTGAACATCAGACAGTCAACTCATTCTGCTGTTGGCTCCAGTATGACGCTGAGTTTAACTCGGGAGCTCCAGATGAACTAAATACCATTTAGGTTCCCTCCTTTCTCCTCACTTCTTCCATCTCATGTCTCCATTAGAAATTTTAAGCAGAAGGGATTATTTTTTGTTGCCTACTTTTTTGTAACACATTATCACAAATTTAGTGGGTAAAGTAGCACAATGTGATTATAATTCTAGAGGTCAGAAATCTAAAATCAAGGCATTAGAAATCTAAATCAAGGGCTGGTTTGTTCTGGAGGCTTCAGAGAGATGCTGTGTCCCTCCTGCCCTTTCTGTGTTCTGAGGCTGCCTGTATTCTCCAACTACAGCTCCTCTGCATCATTCCGACCTCTTGTTTTCATATTTTAAAAAAAATTGCATCTCATTCCTCCCCCTCCTCAGCAGTTCTTTAGATTCTTTCCTTGTGTTGCGTAAACTAACCAACCAAGATACCCTATAAGCCTTTGACATTAGCCAGTGAATTTAAAGGACTACTGCTTCCTATGCATTAGGGCTTAAAGGCCCCTCTTTTCCGCTGTTTATTGCACCTGCTGTCTCATGTCTGAGTGCATTTGTGCTTTCTGCAGAAGTAAATTTTAAACTTCACCTTGTCAAATCCTTTTGCTTGTGTCTGAGTGCATTCTTTCTAGCACTGATAATTATGGGCGCTTATTTCCAACAACATCAACTAAAGTCCTGATGAGTGTTAGATTTGCTTGTCTCTCTCATTAAGTTTTGTACCTTTTAAATACAGGGCACCCAAACATATATTGCATCTTCATGGAAATTAAATGCTGTCACATAAATGTTATTCAGTGTGGTCACCAACTCTTCAGTGCACCAAGGGAAAATTTAAAGTTGTTATCTTTTCTTTTTCAGCAGTTCTTGTTTTAGGATGGCCTTTTTTTTCCCCTGTACTAGAAGAAACTTGAAAATATCAAAGATACGGGTATGGTTTGTGAAAATACATCTTATAACTATTCTGTTTTGAATCTTTTTGTTTTATTTAGTACTGTTGCTGAATCATGCTATAAAAACTTAAATACAATTCCAAGGGAATATTTTATTCTCCACTGAGAGGAGAGAGAGGCATGATGTAAACTCAATGGTCCAAGCAGGTTTATTGGCAAATCCGAGAGGAACTTCTATGATATGATGGGCAGGAGAAGGTGCTGTCTTACAGACTCAGGGGAGCTTTTAAAGTTTGGGAAGGGTGGCAGTGTTTTCTGACAGACTTTAAGGAAACTTTAGCAGGGAACTTTTGATTCCCTTTTTTAGTAATCTGATCTTTTGTTTGAAAAACTGAAGGTTAAATAAACAGAGACTTAATGTTTCCTGAAATGGTGGGCTTTTGTCAAGATAGCAGTACTCTTGTCCAATTTCTGTCATGCTTTGTCCTTAGGGTCCTACAGATGCCATGTCTCCCATTCTGTCCAGTAACTATGTCTTTCCCTTGAATGAAGGCTGAAGGTCTAAGGGGAGAGTTCTTTTTGGGAGTTGGGCTTGGAGACCAGGGAAGAGGCCCTCATAAGGAAGATATTTCTCCTTTTTCCTTGGCTCTGTTTCCTTCACTAAGTTATTAATCCTTTTCTAGTAACTCTTGCTGGTCCTCAGTGGTCAATTTTACCTTTATGGACCTACAACAGTCTTGAAATTAACTGAGCAAAAGCCAAGATTCCTAGAGTTCCAGCCATGGAGGGATTCAGGCAGCTTATCCACCTGCCCTCTTGGTAAGCATCTGCAACGCGGGCCAGGAGGAGAACAGAGCTCCAGAGCTCCGGCCATGGAGGGACTCAGGCAGCTTATTCACCTGCCCTCTTGATAAGTACCTACAGCTTGGGCCTGGAGGAGAGCTATTACCTGTGAGCCAACTTCCACGCGAGCTGAAAATCAAGCACCCTTCTCCCACCTGCCCCCTCCCCTCTTAGCTACTAGGGATAGATATTTCAACATCGCTTGGGAGGATGACCATATGCAGTATAGTAAATATAGGGGATTTCCTTCTATCTTCTGTTTGAAGGCGTAGGTTGTTTTCACTTTTTGTTATATTTCTTTTGCTCTATTCAGTATTCTCAATTGGTTTTACAATGTTCTATTTTTGGTTTGATTTTACAATATGTAATTGATTGGATAGCTATTGTTAAAGAGAGATACCATAGTACTTAGTACTACTACGCCAGTATCCTACTGTGAAATCCTGTACCAATTTCACTGCATTGTCTCGATTGGCTTTGTTCTGTCTTTCGCTGTTGCATATTTGCTACTTTAAAAATTAAAAAAAAAATACATGTTAAGACCCATGCATATGTAGAATCTATAAACAGTTTATGAGAACTGATCTTATGACAACTGATGAAATGAACAGATACTTTGAAGAAAAGGAGACACTAAAATACCCAGTGCTGATCCTGGAGTGTCATAATGTGAAACCCAGCAATTGTGTTACTCTTTGTTCAGAGTGATATTAGCCTGCTTGAGTTTTTTGAAAGTCAACATAATTGAGAATATGGGTAACTGCATATATGTTTAAGTGTAGAGGATTGATAACCATATTTCTAAGTTTTTGTTGGATAGTTGAACAGTACTGGTTGCAATCTCACTGTTTGAATCCCCATTTTATATGTTCCAATTTAGTATCTGGAATAACTATTTGTAAGAAGACAATCTGTAATCATCAACTAGTGATTTTCTACTGTTTATTTTTCTTTGAAATTATGTATTATTTCTACCCGTTTTCTGGTTTTTTTAGTCTTTCTTTAAATTCAGTTTTTTTTTATTTATTTTTTTATTTTTAACATTTATTGAATTTTAAGCACTATGTTATTTCTGGTTTTTATCTCTGAAAAACAGCAACGTATTTATACATATATAAATACATATTATATATAATATGCAGAGTCTGCCAAAAAATGTATACACTAGGAAAAGAAAAACTTTTATAAATTTATAAATATTTTAATACTAAATTTATTGATATCATAAGATTAATAGAAATAACCTTTGGCCTGTAAAATTCTAAGAGGTACTCAAAGTAGTGGCCACTAACTTGCAGACATTTGTTGTATGGCAAACTGTTCAAGTGTGTATACTGTTTTTCATTGGACTCTGTTTATAATATATAATATATAATATATATTGCCAGGATAGCCCCAGAACCAGCCTGTCTCCCTGTACTGTGAAATATAATTTTCTTGTTAAAGGCAGCACACATCTATACTACTGTCACAAGAGGCTGATGCAAAAAGATTGCAAGCTCAAGGCCAGCCTGACCAATTTAAGTGAGACCTCGTCTCAAGACAAAACAAAAAAGGCTGGGGAAGTAGCTTAGTGGCACAGGGCCCTAGATTCAATCTCCAGGATCAAAACAAAACAAAACAAAAACTTAGAAATCACTTGATCTGAACATGCTTTGATTATTTTAATCACTGACCAGTCTCTATTTCTTTTCACAGGTGAGAACCCCCACATAGGCATAGACATGATAGATAATGACCAAGGATCAAGTAGCCCCAGTAATGATGAGGCCGCAATGGCTGTCATCATGAACCTCCTGGAAGCAGACACTGGGCTGGGTGGCCCTGTTGACTTCAGCGACTTGCCATGGCCGCTGTAAACACTACATGTTGCTTTGGCAACAGCTACAGTATCAAAGTGCAGTACTCGTGGAGTTTTACGGTCTGTGAAGCTTACTTGATAGGGAGAGAACAGCTTTTATGTACTGACTTCATAAAAGCCATCTCAGAGCCATTGATACAAGTCAATCCTACTATGTGTAACTTCAGACAAAGTGGAACTAAGCCTGCTCCAGTGTTTCCTCATCATTGATTATTGGGCTAACTGTGGATAGCTTGCATTACTTGTATATTTTGGATTCTGTTTGTGTTGAATTTTTTAATCATTGTGCACAGAAGCATCATTGGTAGCTTTTATATGCAAATGGTCATTTCAGATGTATGGTGTTTTTACACTACAAAGAAGTCCCCCATGTGGATATTTCTTATACTAATTGTATTTATAAAGCTGTTTATTCTTCCTTGTAAGAATCCTTTACTATAAATATGGGTTAAAGTATAATGTATTAGACAGTTAAATATTTTTAATAAATGTTTCCCTTGTTCTATAAATACTGTTCTCGCTTCAAATAATTAGAAAAACTCGTACATGCTTTAGGGTTGTATCACCAGTTCCACCCGTGGGTATTCCAACAGCCAGCATTTGCAGTGCCTTTCTGATCTTCATAACAGTTCTGGGATTTATATCAGTTCCTCCATGCTAGAGGTGTTGTGAAAAAGTTAATTTCCAGATTGTTGCCATTTTGATTTATGTGAAAACAAAGTTATTATTGCTTACACACAAAGTTCAAATCCTTTGAATGTACATATTCACAATTACATGCAATGAACTGACTTCTCTCCACTGCTACCTTTCTTTACTATTTCCAACTGTATTTCCAGCTTCAAGCATTAAGAGACCACACACCCAAAACCACCTAAATATTTCTGATTCTTTCTTGAATTAGGCCACAGAATATTTAAGACAACATTTGTATAAATAATCTGCTAGGCAGAGCAGCACAATATAATGCAAATAACATGGAAATAGTATCTGAAGCTGGCTCTTAAACTTAGGTAAAGTCATTTCATTTTATTACAGGGTAGATAGGAAATACTCTTTTCAGCTTTTGTGTTACTTTAGATTTATAGTATATTTTATTATTAGTTAGAAATTTAGGTGCTTTGTCACACATAAGAGTTCCTTTCAAAAGCTATTTAATTGCTAGTTTTACTTACGCCAGTAAGACAGAAAATCTAATTATGACTAAAAATCTGCCAAGGTGGTTATAAAGTTGGTCTGAAACATTAAAACAATGGAATTTTATTTTGATGAAAAACTTGAGTTTACAATCATTTAGTAAATGAAGAGCAAACACTTCATTTTCCTATCTCATAACGCTTAAGAAAAAAAGCATTAGTAAATAAGTATCTGTGAACAGATTAAGGGTAAGGCAGACTGGGTAATAAACCACCTCTGATGTTCACACTCCCTGCATGGACTCACTCTCAAAAGGTGAAACAGCACTGGAGATAGTGAACCAATAAGATATGAGCACTGAATCTCATCCTACTCATTCAAATAAGCCCAAGATAAATACTATTTTGTTCACCATGGGCAGCAAACTATACACATTTTACTGAAGGAATACTTTGATAGAAGCATTTATTAAATTACATTATACATCACAACTATAAAATGGCTTGAACAGTTCCATTTAACCACCATTTATAAAGTGCAACTATATAATATTCTGCATTTTATCTGGGGTGTGATAAGTATCAGTCTTTATTGAAATCACCCCAGCTGCCAATTCCCATCACTTCTGAAAAGACTTAACATGTGAAAAAGGACTGTCCCCATACAAAGAACCAATTTCACAAACCTACTGGTAAACAAATAGATTTTTATAACTGGAACCTCAGGATGCTAGAGTTGTACTCATTTAAAAAACCATTCAGCTACCTTTGGTCTTTAAACAAACCTACACTGCAATACCCTAAACATGTGCACCTCACAATGAAGAAGAGTGGCCTTGCAGTGCAGAATGAGACTGCAAAGAGTAGCGTGCTATGGTTTCCACGACAGCGTCACAGCATTGGGTTCTGTGCGTCAGGATCGAGGTCATTGTTGCCAGAAGCAGGGTGCATGGGGAAGATGTCCAGCTCATCCACCTGTGGAGTGGGGTGCATGACCACCAGCTGGTCCTGGGGAATGTCTGCAGCAGCTGCTGCCAGGTTGGTGATAGATTTACTCTTTACACACTGGAAGTCTACATGCCGACTCTTCCCTTCTTCCTTCTCCCAGGACATTCGAATAAAGGGTCTTTGGACGTAGTTGTAAATGACTTCTGGGCAGCCCCCAGGCCTTTTCTTTACTTTTTCTTTGTAGGTAGGATAGCCTTCTATTCCCAATCTAATTTTCTTCAGACCCCTCTCCTTCAAAACTGATTTGGCCACGTCTCTGTTTTCGATGTACTTGAAAAATCTATACAATTTTGTGCTATAAATAATTTGCGAATATTCTTCTCCCATCTGTGGTGGATACTCTTTGTCCCAGTCAACTACATCGTCATCTGTAAGCACCACTATATGGCATTCTCGTTCCCCACTCTGGGCACTAGCTACCATAAGAGGAAGGATCATTTCTTCCAGATAAAATTCAAATTGTCTACGAGCACCATCATTGGACAACTCATGCATCAGGGCACTGAGATCTCTACATTTAATAGTACTGTATTCAAAAGAGATATATCACATGCTTCTCTTGGCTCAGGAATTGATATGCCATCAGGACAACGAATTATTCCTGTCTTATAGTAATCTAGAATAGCTCGAAATACAGTAGAACCGATTCCTTCTGCCACCTCATACTCTCCTTTCTCACTGGGACATGTAAAGTTATGTTTTTGGCCAGACCCAAACATCCTGCCCTACATTGTATTTGGCTATGCAGTAAAAATGGATGGGTCTACAACAAATCTAGTGTTATCCACTATTAATGTCACTCGTTCTGACATTCTTATATTCCGAGCACCTTCTTTTGCATTTTCATATACAAATATCATCTCCCCAAGTGTCTTACAGCTACCGTCTGAGCTTGACTGACTACTTTTCTGCTGTTCCCAGCACTGCTAACTGAACCATTCGGAGAGGCTTTTTGTGGACCAGTACTGCTTGGACGAGAGGAACTGTGATCTTTTTCTCTTTCAACATGTGCTGCTGTGTTGGAGAAGTAACATTTCTAATGCAAGGAGTTAGCTGCGATTCTGTTCTTTCATGTGATGAATCTCGTGATCTGTCACTTGACGTTCGCCTGTCTCTTGATCTCTCATGTCCCCCACTAGCACCATGCAGACTCATTTTGGTGTTGTCCACTCCTCCTTTAGCAACACGTGAAGAAGCACTGTGTTTCCCCTTAAGTGTCCACAGAGAGCCAAAGCGAAAGCTGAGGGGAGCGCCGCCTCCACTTCCTCTTCAACCGGATCCCACTAAAGGCAGCTGTGGAGGCGGCCACTCTGGCTGCCGAGACGCCTACCAGAGCCGCCCAGGCAGGTCGCCTAAATTCAGTTTTAAAAAGAAGACACTGCAGTACCCAGTGCTGATCGTGGAGTGTTATGAAGTGAAATCCAGCAATGTTATTATTCTTTGTTCAAAATGATTTTAACCTGCTTTAGTTTAATCTAAACATAAATGAAGATATGGATAACTGCATGTATGTTTAAATGCATAGGATTGACAACCATGTTACTAAGTTTTTGTTGGACAGTTGATTAGAACTTTTTGCAGTCTCTCTGAATTCCCACTTTACATGTTCCTTTTTTGTCCCTTGAACAACTATTTGTAAAACGACAACATCAACTAATGATTTCTTACTGTTTTTTTTCTCTGAATGTATGTAATATTTCTACCTATTTTCTGATTTGTTTAATCTTTTTGTAAAAAAAAAAAGTCAAGATTCCTCAATGATAACATTTTAATGGATCAAGTAGAGGCTGGGCCATGATTCTTGCAGGTCTGGGATTGCAGAGAGAAAGTGGTCTGTCCTGGAAAGAGTCTAACTAACACTAAAATGACAGTAAGAGATAACATGGAGAGAGTGGCAGGAAACTTCAACCTGGTGATAGTATTACCTTGCTCTCTGAAATCTGAAAAAAAATGGAATATGGTTGTGTTGTTTTTCCCTCTATGAGATTCTTCGGCAGCCTTCTGTGAGAAACTTTGGCCATCTTTTCTATAAAAGGGTATAAACAGGAGTGCCTCTTCTTTAGACTGTAGTTCAACCAAGGCAGCCCTTCTAGAACACACTGAAATTATGGGAAAGGCGTGCTTAGTTCAAATTCTGAAAAATAGCTATAAATCCAGAGTTTATCAATAGCCAAGGACCTTCTGTTCCCCCTACTCTCTTTTCTCCTGCTCTTCCCTTCCTTAACAACACTGTTTAGCAACTCCTCGGGTCCATTCTTAGTGCTCCTTAAAATAGCCAATCAGGATAGACTGTGAACTTTCAACCCAGCCAGTGGAGAAAAGGGTCAGGTGCTTCCCCTACTAGGACTTAAAACTTCACTTCTCCAGAGCCTGGCACATCTGCTACTGCACTGTTGTGTCTTTCTGCAGAAATAAAATGCCCTGTCAAGAATTCTTGATGTCTGAATATTTTATTGTATGCACCAATAAACTGAGTCTGAGGACACTTGTGAGACAAGTATTATCGGCAAAGTCAACAGCAAACCAGTGGTTAAAGGTTGCAGCCATAGAGGAATGGGCCTTGTTTTACCCACTCCAGCCAGTGGTAGCTAGAGAAGACTGGTACTGAAAGGAGAGCCTGGAGAACATGTCAGTGCTAGCCAGCTAGCCTGAGGCAACAGGACTCAGGCAGTGGGCGGAGTAGGGCTGGCAGAGGTCTTAGTGTCATTGCTGCTGCTGCTTTACTCCATCGATGAGAATCTGTAAGAAATAGAAGATACTTTTTTGTTTTGTATGTTTCACTTTGCAGGAAGAGCTTCTCAATTAAAGCACCATATGTCTGCCATCATCCTAGGGGATGACCACAGCAAACTTTCTGGCACAGCTCTGAAGTCTACAGCTGCCTACAGGAAACCTTGGGGGACTGTGGCCACACTCCACTCTGCCCTCAGGTGACCACTCCCAGATTGTGACTCAACCTGAGCCCTGCCATTCATGTGGTACCTTGTTCAGGGGAGGAAGCAAGGGGGCCCAGGGATCAGTGTGTCACTGTGGAGGTCAGAGGCAGGAGGGTTGAAGTCAGAGAGACCTGCATCATCATCTGCTGGCTGTGAGAAGAGGAGCAAACTTCTCCCTAAATGAGGAAAACAGTGACCACATGCCAAGATGACAAGAATTAAAGGGATAAATTTGATGGTTAAGCTGATACCCAGTGAGTATCCAAAGGAAAACCACCAGTAAATGGATTGTATCATGGTGTGGAGTAAAGGGTGCTTCTCAACCTATGAATGAGGGGGACAAAGGAGCTTCCTGCCACTGACTGAAAGGATACTTGCTATTACTCAGTTATTTTGAGTAGAAATGAGATGTGTGTATGTGTGTGTAAA